AGCGCCCAAGAGCTCAGTAGCTGTCTAAACATAGATAAAACTATAAAGGAGAGAAGATGAAGTTTATTGTAAAGTTCAGTGAATAAATGTGAATACACTAAGCAGCAGGCTATTTCATCTGTCACAGAGCACATGAAACAGTCACTTCTGGATATTGGGTTTGAACCAAAGTGCAGATTCCAAATAATGGGCTCTAGCACACCAGACTCTTCTCTCCTTTCCATGTTTTTTTAGGATGTCACATCCACACACTTGAAAAAAATGTAGCTACAGATGTTTTTCTAAAGTAGAAGTAGGTACTTCTGAATTTAATACAAATTTTTAACTACAAGTGAGAAAAAACTATGAATCCCCATTAGAAAGGAAGTTATAAATCTTACCTTTGTCAACTACATCCCAGACTTCAACCTTAACAATATCGTCAGTGGCTAAAAGCACAAGAAGAACACAAAGTGTTAGAAGAGGGTTTCAGTAAAATGACCAATGACCAACACTCAACACTTGCCAGAGAGCCCAAGTCAACACTCAAAGCAGCAGGTGAAAATAAAAAGAAAAGTAATTCTTGAGTGAGTTAAAAGGAAACCCAAAGACTACAAGAAGAGCTGGTGTTGAAGGTTCAAGCTGTATGCTAAAACTGAGTGAACTGAAAAACTTCTTAAAGCCTCTTAGTCACACAAGTGATAGGTGGATTTCCTTGAGGTTTTATGTTAGCTTTAAAGCAGGTTACAATATTTTGTGCACATTCTTCTCTTAACATACAGAGATTTCCACATTCTTTCAAAAAAAAGATACACATTTAATTTGGAGAATAAATCCTGGTCTATAAGCAAGGTGTACAACTGAAGGAAAATGAATATAAACACTCAGTGAAGTTCAACTTATTAATGACATTTTCAGGTGAGCATGACAAACAGTGCAGACAGTCCATTCCCTCTGCACATTCAGAGTTGCATTCTGTGAACAATAAGATATCACTACCAATTTTACCTCTTAATGAGCTGCAGCATCAGTAAATTATAAGCAGTAACACAGATTTGATTTGCTAAAATCTGAAGCAAGACTACAGAGAGTGCTGCTGGTACTGGGGCTAGCAGCTTAACTGTCAGACAGCACGAGGGATGGGCAGCCTGGGTTAGCTGCTGCTGCTGAATCCACATGAGCAGTCTGATCTTCATGAAGCTGCTCCAAGGAACAGTTGCCTTTTGGAAATGCTACAGCTAAAAAGCAAAAGCCTGTACTTGGAGCAGCTCTGAACACACAGCAATGGAACAGGGAGATAATGCCTCAGAGTAGAAAATAATCTCATAGGATGGCATCAGAATTTAGCTAAGTGTCGTTGTCAAGCCAGGAAACATCTCCTCTAAAGAATTCACTGTTGGCTTAATGTAAATGTTTCAAAATATTATAAAGACAGATTATGAATAAAGGAAAACTTTGATCCTCTGCTTCTGGAGAAAGATCCTCTTTTACATTTATTCATGAAGCCAAATCAGCCTCTACTTTTCCTCACAGCAGCTCCCTCTTCTCTTCTGCTTTGCCAGCAGGATGGTGGCACAGGGGCTGACCAGAAGCACCACAGGTTTGGGTGGGACTCCAACCACCACAGGCGTCCAGCAGCCTCCCATGCCAAAACCAAACCTCTGCACAAACCACTCTGCTCCCCAAATTCTGACCTGAATATCTGTACAGACCATGAAGCCAGGGATGGACCAAAGCCCAGTGGTCCCCATGACTGGCTCGCCTGGCACAGGCACAGCGGGGTGACCTCCCTGGGACGTGGGCTGCTGGAGCCTGGGGCCTGTTCAGGGTGTGCCCTGACCCTGCAGGTGCTGGGACATGGATCACTAGTGGAGCTGTGCCCCCAAAGTCCTGCCCTGCAGCTGGGACTGGCAGTGCTGCTGCTGTCCCTGAAGGACAGGGGGATGGACAGAGCAGCAAAGTCAACCCTAGTGCCTTCCAACAGTCACGACCTTCTGCAAAAGACAGAGGTGTTGCTTTCTCAGCTGGTACACTCTGCAGAGGCAGAGGAGGAGTCCAGAAGGCTGCCTGTTCTCTCCAGAAGTGCCACAGAATCATAGAATCACTTTGGTTGGGAGAGACCTTTACGATCATCAAGTCCAACCATTCACCCAGCACTGCCAGGTCACCACTGACCCATGTCCCTCAGCACCACGCCTACACATATCGGAAATCCCTCAATGGATGAGGACTCCACCACTGCCCTGGGCAGCCTGGGCCAGGGCTTCACAGCCCTTTTGTGGAAGAAATTATTCCTCGTATCCAACCTAAGCCTCCCGTGGTGCAACTTGAGGCTATTTGTTCTTGTCCTATTGCTTGTTCCTTGGGAGAAGAGACAAACTGCCATCTGGCTCCAACCTCCTGCCAGGGAATTGTCAAGAGCCAGAAGGTCTCCCCTCAGTCTCCTTTACTCCAGGCTGAACAACCCCAGGTCCCTCAGCTGTTCCTCACAAGACCTGTGCTCTACACCCTTCACCAGCTTCACTGCCCTTCTCTGGTCACACTCCAGCCCCTCAACATCCTTCTTGAAGTGAGGGGCCCAAAACTGAACCTGGGATTCAAGATGTGGCCTCACCAGTGCCAAGTACAGGGGAACAATTGCTTCTCTAGCCCTGCTGGCCATACTATTTTTGATACAAGCCAGGATGCTGTTGGTGTTGATGGCAACCTGGGCACACACTGAGTCACCTACAGCTGGCTGTGGACCAGCACCCCCAGGTCCTCTCCTGCTGGGCAAGGAAGCAGCACAAGCACATTAACAAGGGGCTTCTGTGGAGAAGCTGGATCCCCATTTCAGATCAGTCAGCCTTGGGGTGAGATCCAGGAGGTGACCTGGTATCTAGGACTAGGACTTTGCTCCCAAGCTCCAGAGGTCTCCACCTCCTCGCCCTAACACCAAACACACCCTCAGCTAAGATTTGTTCTGCTGAGTAATTTCCACAGCACTGACATCCTGCTGAGCAGCAGCACTCCCAGAGAGCCAAAGAGTTGAAGGTTTGACCCACAAAGACCTACTCCACACTCTTTTATCTGAGGGGAAGCACAGAATTTCCCAAAGAAACTGACTGCATGACATCCAAGAAAACCATTTTTCCACATGGGCTTTTTTCCTGTTAGCACCACTGCTCCTGCCAGCCCACAGCCAGAGAGTTCTTCCTTTTCATCACCAGCTTCACTCCTGATTATCCTGAGCACACAAGAGGATAATTACTTCAGTGCTGCTGTGTTGGCATTGGTATGACTCACACATTTCATCTGGAGGGGTTTGGAAGGCAAGCTGCAGCAAAAAGAGGCCAATTCACCCTTTTATCTCTCTGCCTTGGATTAGCATAAGCCACGGCCCAAAGCACTCACAAGACCTGCACTCAGTTGCTGTATGGCCAAGTACTCTGGAGCCAGTGGCACACTAAGACTCTACCTTCCAGGAAAACAGTGGAGAGGTCTGAGAAGACTGCAGCTGCAAGGAAGCTCCTTTAAAAAGAAGAATCATTGCTTTATAGGTGGGTTCATCACCAGGAATTCACAGGCCCTCAGACATATTCACCCTCATGCAGTTACATGACTCACTTCATCTGCTTTGGACCACCAACCCCACAGAGCAGAGCAGCTCTGCCATTCCTCACACCCATCTACAAAGCACTGAACATGCTGGAACACAGGGATTTGCAGATTTTTATTTTGTACTCCCCTTCTGAGACTGCCAAACAGAGAATAAAATTGGTGACCAGCATAATCTCAACCAGCGTTCGTTAGGGCCAGGAATGGTAACTCCTCACTTGGACACAAAGTTACAAATTTTAATTGGCACAGAAAAGTAATTTTCCTCATTCAGAGTAAGGAGAAATAACTAAAATTCCTCTACCTTTTTTAATTCCTCTAGTATAAAATTTCCAATGATCTGACAAGTTGCTACGTTCCACATCAACAACATAAAACTTCTAATACCAGGCAATGTAAGAATCCTTCAATATTTGACAATGATTTAATTAACATCTGTAAATATTTGCTGCCAACTGCCTCATAAGGTTTACTCAAGGTAACTTGAGAGCGTGATCACAGGAAAAACAAACTTTATTGCTCCTCTACAGATTAACTCAGCCAACAGGGTGGTAATCAGATCTGAGCCAATTTCTCAGGGTGCTCACATCACCCATCTTGGGTGGAAAGTTTTCACAGCAGGAAACAGACTGTCCAATGTCATTAAAAAAGGGGGTTATTTTTTTAAAACAAGTTTTAAGAAGGTCAGTGGAGAATTTCCTATACTGATGGAGATTATCACTAGGAATACAATGCAAGAGAAACACAAACAAAAGGCACAACTTCATGTAGACACGAGGCAACCAGAACTCTCTGCAGGGCTACAAACCCTCTGCCTGCACTCTGTGGACCTGGCCATGGCTATAAAAACAGCTGGGTGTGAATAAGTCTCCCCAAAACCCAACGCCAGACTCCTGGGCTGGGCTTATTACCTGGGGTTACCTGTGCTGATCAGAGAGGAAACCACACTCTGAAGTTTGTACCTATGATGCTGCAGAAAACCACAACTAACACTCAGTGTGCTCTTTAGGCTTGGATACCTAAGAGAGAGAGATCTAATTAATTTAATTTCTTACTCTAAGACTGGACAGGTTGGATTGATGGGCCAAGGTCAATTGGATGAGGTTCAACAAGGCCAAGGGTCAGATCCTGCACTTCAGTCACAACAACCCCCTGCAAGGCTCCAGGCTGGGGGAAGAGTGGCTGGAAAACGCCTGGCAGAGAAGGACCTGGGGGTGCAGATGGCTGAACAGGAGCCAGTGGGTGCCCAGGTGGCCAAGAAGGCCACCAGAATCCTGGTCTGGATCAAAAATAGTGTGTCCAGCAGGAGCAGGGAAATGATCATGCCCCTGGACTTGGCACTGGGGAGGCCACAGCTTGAGCACTGGGGTCAGGTCTGGGCACCACAAGAGAAGAAAAACCTTGAGGGGCTGGAGCAGGTCCAGAGAGGGGCAGTGAAGCTGGGGAGGGGTCTGGGGAACATGGCTTGTGAGGAGCAGCTGAGAGATCTGAAGTTGTTTAGTCTGGGAGAGGCTCAAGGGAGACCTGATTGCTCACTACATCTTCCTGAAAGGAGGTTGGGGTGAGGTGGGGGTTGGTCTCTTCCCCCAGGTAACCAGTGATAGGATGAGAGGAAATGGGCTGAAGTTGCACCAGGGGAGGTTTGGACTGGGTATTAGGAAGGATTTCTTGACTGGCAGAGTGGTGAGGCCTTGGCCCAGGCTGCCCAGGGAGATGGTGGAGCCACCATCCCTGGATGGTGTAAAAAATGTACAGACATGGTACTTCAGGATATGGTTTAGTGGTCATGGTAGTGTTGGGTTGATGGCTGGACTTGATGATCTTGATGTCTTTTACAGCCTTAATGATTCTATGATTCCATAGGCTGCAGCATTCTAGTTTGATTTTGGACACTTTCCATCATCCAAAGAACCTGGAAGCTCTGTGTTCACACACCAACAACCCATGTGCTGATATTCTGAGAGAAGAAGAGGAGCCTGGGAAGGATGCCACAGCTAAAATCTAGCATGCCAGAGGTCTTGCTGCAGATGGGGAACACCACTGCATGAACACCACAGCTCTGCCTGTGCCTTGGGCCAGCTGCTCATTTTGGGTACTGTCTTCCTGATGGTAGCCAAAATACAGACACTTTATGAAGAAATGTAGAAGCTAACAGGCACACCTTTGCACCAGTCCCATGGAGAGCCCTGTGAAAGAGCCAGAAAACCCCTGACATCAGGCTTAGTGCAGCCTCAGGTCCTGAGTGACAGACAACCACTAGCTGCACTCAGCAGGGATGACCTGGGTAACCACGAGCCAGCAGTGTGCTGCTGTGGCCAAAGGCTTCCTGGAGTGCATTCAGGAGAGCTTGGCCAGCACCTTGAGGAAATTCTCCTCTCTCTCTGCTCTGCCCTGTTAAGGCCAGCTCTGGAGCACTGGGAAGTTCTCTCTCTCTGCTCTGCCCTGTTGAGGCCAGCTCTGGAGCACTGGGAAGTTCTCTCTCTCTGCTCTGCCCTGTTGAGGCCAGCTCTGGAGCACTGGAAAGTTCTCCTCTCTCTCTGCTCTGCCCTGTTGAGGCCAGCTCTGGAGCACTGGGAAGTTCTCCTCTCTCTCTGCTCTGCCCTGTTGAGGCCAGCTCTGGAGCACTGGGTCCCACACTGGGCTCCACAGTTCAAGAGGGTCCAGCAGAGGCTAAAAAGATGCTGAGGGGCTTGCAGCATCTCTGGAAGGAGTAAAGGCTGAGAGCCCTGGGGCTGGTTAGCCTGGAGAAGAGAAGACTGAGAGGGGATCTGATCAATGTTCATCAATATCTAAAGAGCAGATGCCAAGGAGGCCAAGCCAGACTCCTTTCAGTGGTACCCAGTGATAGGAGAAGGGGCAGCAGGCACAAAGCAGACCACAGGAACCTCCAACTAAACATGAGGAAAAACTTCTTTAGGGTGACAGAGCCCTGGAGCAGCTGCCCAGAGAGGCTGTGGAGTCTCCTTTGCTGGAGAAATTCCAAACCCACCTGGACAGGATCCTGGGCAACCTGCTCTGGGTGCCCTGCTGGAGCAGGGGGGTTGAACAACATGATCCCCAGAGGTCCCTTCCAGCCCTCACCATTCTGTGATTCTGTGACCTGTTTCTCTCCAAGGCAAATGAGAACCATCCACCTTTATAAACCTTTTCAACCTGTGTCAAGAGAGGACTGACTCATGTGGAGGCCTGTCTTCAGAAGGGGACAGGAGTCACCAGCTCCCTGTGAGTGGACAGCAGCAGCATCTGCTCACTCTCCCTGCACTGAAGCCTGGGAAGATGAAGAGAGCACTGTTCCAAGGCTGACTGCTGGTGAACACACCCTGGGGCTCCGTGATCATCATCACAAGACCTGGACATCACTGTATCATCCAGTGATACAGATCTGATGGGTGAATTAGGGCACCCAATTTGGTGTTCACCCAAACTACATGGGGTATTTTTCCTGTTGTGAGGAGACAGAGGGCACTTGATTCAACAAAAGGGCAGAGTGGTGCAGATGGACAATGTCTGATGAGGGCAAACTAACTGCTGGGCTGTTTTATTTTAAAGCAAAATCAGTCTCACAGAGCAAGGTCATACTGAGTCAGTAGATCTCCCCACAAGGCTGTGGCATTTCTGATCAGGAAGCTGAAGGCTGACTCAATGCACTGTTGAATCACAGCTTTATGCAATCTCAATGCTGGCAGTGTCTCCCACAGATGAGATCCAGGGCCTCCAGAGACACTTTACACTGTCAGCAGATGATGAACATTAAAGAAAAGTCACACCTCATCTCTCAGACTCAAACAAGCACTTAGAAAAAGCGACTGATAAGATACTTCTGTGCTCCAGTAAGCTGGCCTAGAGTTATTAGTACTACAATAATTTTTAAAACATCATCTTCACCAGTTACTCTGTGTATTTTAATCAGTAAAAACATAGTTTGCACTATGCTATTCACTTCTGCACAACAGAGTAACACCAAAAGCAGGGTTAGCCTCAGAGAGATGACTGAGAAACTGTGATTAATAAATTAAAATAACAGGAGTGATGAGTGACCATTTTATCTCTCAAGCAGGCAGAGAAGAAAGAAGCACACCAGGCTGCAGTGGAATTTCTACCCCCAAGGCACTGTCCCATGACTGTCACTCCCCCGACCCTCTTCCATCTTACTTTTATAATTCCAGTGGATGCTGGTGACTTGGATCTCCTGAGTTGGAATATATTCCTCAATAAATTTCTTCCCCTGCAGTCGGTGCCAGAGTGTGGTTTTCCCAGTGTTCCTGTCCCCTCGGATGACAATTTTCACTGGGGAAAAAGAACAAGCAGAAAAATGAAGTTGATTAAAATCCAAACAAAGAACACTCTGAAAAGCACATTAACATTTTGCAAGATGTAATTAGTTCTCCCATATGACACAGGCATGATGGGGTTTGTTAAAAAACATGAGCTCCAGTCAATAAAATTAGTGTTTATTCAGCTACACATGCTAGCTCAGCAGAAAGAACCAACCCCCACATTGGATCTTCAGAAGCTGCAGAAGTTCAGCCAGCAAAGTCTCTGCTCCTTCCACCCTCCTGCTCTCCCTACCCCTGCCCAGCCCGTGCTCCTGCTCTGCAGTACCCAGCTCCTGTGCTAGCCTCTTATGCCAGCCTCCTCCTCTAATTATCTCCTCTACCATTCCCACTTTTCCTTAAACCTTGAGAAAACAGGATCATAGAATTGTTTAGTTTAAGAACATAGAGTCCAATTGTTCCCCAGCACTGCCAGGTCCCCACTGCCCCGTGTCCCTCACACCACATCTCCACAGCTTGGAAACCCCTCCAGGGGTGGGGACTCCACCACTGCCCTGGGCAGCCTGGAACAGGGCTTACCAACCCTCATTTTCACTAAAATCCAACCTAAACCTCCCCTGGCACAACTTGAGGCCATTTCCTCTTGTCCTATCAGTTGTTCCTTGGGAGAGGAGACCGACCCCCACCTGGCTCCAGCCTCCTGTGAGGGAGTCTAGGGAGTGACCATCTCTTCCCTCATCCTCCTGCTCACCTCCTAGACCCAGCTGCCCACTGAAAGCTCAAGGACAAGTTCTCAGCTGAGCCCACAAGGCAGGATCCTGTGTTCAGAGGTGCTGCTCCCTACACCCCATAGGGTGAACTCTGAACCCCAGCACCAGTGAAACTGTTCTCCTGGGAAGATGCTGGGAGAGCTGAGAGGCAACTTGTGGTGAACATGACTGCAGAGCTAAGCTGTCATCACCCTCAGGTACCTCCAGCTGTCTTGCACTGGGGCAGAATCCTCTTTTCCAGGGGAAGCAGAAGAAGACTGTGTACTGCCCTTCATCTGCTCCAGCTCACAGCCCTGATGGCCTCAGGCAATGCTTGGCAGGAACAAGGGGAGGGTAGTTGGCATTCACTGTCTTAAACTGCCCCTGATAAATTCACCAAACTGCCTGTCAACAGCCACAGTTTGATTCAAAATCAGTCTATCTTCCAGGCATTGGAAACAAGCTAAACTGAACCAAACCAAGCATGCCCCTTTGGGGATGTAAACTCACTTCAGTGATGACACTAAGCTGGGAGGA